GGTGAAGATTGCTACGAAGCCGTAAAACATCGCTGGAGTATTCGCAGGAAAAGCAACAAAGAAGAGCGGTTGCGAATTTCAAGAAGGACCCAGCATCGCGCACGAACACTTCAGATTCTGTAGACGCATCGGGAGTATGTAAAGGAGTCTGCATGTGCTTTAAGTACCTCGATAAAATGAACTGAGTGAAGCCCAAGAGTGTCAGTCCAGAATGGCCGACAGATCAGCCAGTACGGCACGTGAATGGTTGAACGACCATGAACGTACGAGTCTACTTCACAAAAAAGTAAGTTTAACTTCACTGCCTCGCGTTGAAATCCCGAGCGACAGGATATTAAATGCTGCCCACATCGGCGTTGTTACGCGTCACACACTTGTCGCGAGAGAACACTCATCCCGAGGACGAAGATGAACTGGAGCCATCAAATGCGAGGTATCATTTCTTCCCTTTCCGACATATCAGCGGAAATATGACTGCGAACATCTTCCTTTCCTGAGCTTAACGGAAGTACAGGGTGAGCTCTAAATCCTCCACCATTCATTGCTGCGAAAAATGCAATGAAGAGGAAAATGAGGACATGAACTCTCCTACCTGTCCATATATCCAAATTGTTCGGGGTTGAACGGAGGCTTGAAAGCTTATGATGAGCAAAAGGCAAAAAAGAGGTTAGTTTGCAATGCGAATGGATGGAATGATCCAGGAGCAATCCAACCGAGCACTAGCGGAAACTCCAAGAGGAAGGGGAGAAATCACGAGGGTGAGGCATCAGAGCACTGACTTCCTGAAGGAGGCTCATGGGATGTGGTCGATGGGCCGAGAAGCGCAAATTATTCTGTGGGGATGAAAATTGTCTGAATGGAAGTTGAGTTTCGACTTGAGGACTTCTTCGACTTTCGTGTGGTGAGATTTCTCAACATCTTCGTCGAACATAGAAACGTAAGTTTTAAGTTCTCATTGTTGGCAACATTGGTCATGAAACAAGGGGGGTGTTCAAAAAGTTCTGCAAATAAACTTATAAATTTCAAATGACTTCATTGATTAAAACAATTATATGTTTAATCCTTTAAAGCAACCCCCTCCCCCCAATCCCTGCAGCCTCATACATCGCTGCAGCCTCATCAGCCGATTCTGGAGAGCCCACGGTACTCACATGCAGGGAAAGATTTTAGGGCTGAATTGATTGAGCAAGGTCCTGAACCCGAGTACTATAGTTTTTTTTAGTTTTGATTGAAATACGAGAGGTTCTTCTAGGGTTTTATCTACATAATTATTTCGAATTATTTATTATTTAAACGCCTATTATTTCGAATGGTGGTGGCGTTTCAATTGTTAACATTCTTGTTTACAAATAGCATGATGATTTGCATAACTTTTTGAACCGCCCACGCACTCGGCCTCATATTTAGGGTGCATGTGAGTGCCGAGGGGCTCTCCAGAATTGGCTGGTGAGGCTGCAGCGATGTATTGATGATTGGGGGGGGGGGGGGGGGGGGG